CAGACTTTCAGGCACGATAAGGTCTCTTCGTTTGACAAAACTATTCCGTGTAGCTCATTGGACAGTGTCACGCAATACGAAAAAAACGTAATACCATATGTATCGCTTCTCTACCTCAGGTTTTTACTCCCAGTCTTGCACCTAGAGAAATGCTCCCACGCGACCAAGCTTCTCAAAGTCTCTGTTGCGGAAGCCTTGCTCACTGCCTTCTCGTGGCGGAGGTGATTCCCCACCATACATCACCAACGCCATTGTACAGCGCAATACGGTGAAATGAAGTTCACTCATCGCTGCCACACTCATAACGAATACAAGGTAAGTGAGAATGTTTAAGGGGGGATAGGGATTGAACCTATTTTTAGAGACGGGAACAGAAAGCGGACCTCGATGGTCAACACAGAGTGCACAGTTCACCTGTGCATGTCACCAGATAGGTTGCCGCGGCGAGCGATGCTTGGCCAAGCACGTAGCGGTTGGAACAAAATGAAGGGCGACCAAGCTAAGATCTGTCATGAGGGTATGAAAACCCTGACCAGGAGACTGGCTCACATGGGTCCCGTTAGGTTCCCTGGCTGGGGACCCAGAGATCATGGTCACCGGTGGTTAGAGACACAGCGATATGGCTGGGTGTCGCAAACAGTGGCGCTCATGCATCTACTCATTATTCTTGTAACTTCAGTCTATGAAAAACTGCTACCTTCCGCTTAAATCTGCTCTGAACATTTTAATTATCATTCTGCTATTTGATCCAAATGAGCAACCAAAACCGGTGCACGAAAGTGGTTGTAAGAACTGAACTGAACACATTCTCAAGCACTCTGGTCTGATAAGAAGTGACAGAAAGATGGTCACCGTTGTCGGTTTGTGACCTTCAGTGTCTCCAACCATGCGGTTTCTGAATCTTTTGGGTTCAAACCCGGGGGACGAGAGACACCTAATCGATAACCATCAAGTGATGCCTTATAAAACAGTATACAGTAGGCCAATGCACAGTATTTGCAGGCTTGACAATAACGTTACCGTGTGCAACAAAAAAGGGGATGGTTACAATTCTCTAGATCTTACCTGACCCGTGGATTCGTTCACACCTTGCATGCGTATTTTGGTAACAAACCTACCAAGATAAAAAGGGGGATAACGAGGTTAACCAGAAATCAGTATCATCATCAGCATTAGCGTGATACAGCATAATACAGTAAAGCATTAATCTCCATAGATACGGCGCAAAAATAATCATGAGTGAAAAGAGAACCACAGGCAGAACAAGGGAGAAAACAAAACGTTTTTTGCTTGTTTACTGCATGCAGTTTTGTTATTTTTTGGGATTGGATATAGAAAAGGCTGCATTCATGCTACTGTTTTTGATCGAATGTCGCGGTGTCTCCAGCCAAAGACAATCTGAATCTTTGAGGCCCCAGCCGGGAAGCCTAGAAAGGAAGATAGATCTCAGCACAATGTATTTAGCTCCTCTGCACCACGTCATAATCTGCCCACATCGTTGTTTCTTACAGCCCGAACCAATGTCTGCAAACAGCGCACGGTATGGCAGACGCTGTACGACGTACTCTAACCAGCTCAGATGATGCAGTAAAATGGTTTTGCTCGGTGGAAGATTATCCGATTTTAACACACGTCTGACTTCACCGATACTCATGCGATGCTCCCACCATAATCGGGCGATGTTACACAGACAAGCGGCTATCAAACACGGATAGTCGTTAGACATGACCCGCTCGGAGGCCAAGTTTGGCAATGATAGAGCAACATGGTGCGTAGCGTTGCACAATACACATGCCCCTTCATGGAAAGACATATCGCGCGGGCGCCAGAGATATCGCAGAGTAGCAAACGCCAATCAAGCTTTGACAATGGGTTGAGAGATCCCTTTGCTCACACCGCCAGTCGTTATGCAACTCCTCAGGTAGACAAAGCCTTAAACAAATTTCAGTGTGGTTACCCAACGGAAGTACAGAACCGGGTTCCTGTTATTCTTGCAACAACAAACTGCACTTTGAAGGTGCAAATGGCATACTATAACAAATAACCTCAATTGCCAAACGATTCAAGCGAGCTTCACTGATCGCTGCCAAACTCGAAATGCACTGGAAGTAAAATTTAAGGTGGACAAGGATTGGATCTAGTTTGAGGGAGGGAGAAATTGAACCACTATGTTCAACATGCAGAGTGCACAAACGAACTCTGCATACACACCGTTTCAAGCACTCTGACCTGATAAGAAATGACAACGAGGACGCCACTGCTGTCGGTTTTCTGCCATCTTCTTCAATGTCTACAACCAGCCAGTTGCGGAGTCTTTTGAACTTCAACCTGGAAGGCGCATGACACCTAATCCACCTAAAGGCTATGTGCTTTTCTTCATGCCTCGTCTCCACGTCATCTGTTAACCTCCATGTGGTTTCCTCCAGTCCGGAGCGGCAACCGCGAATAAGGTGCGGTGTGGTAGATGGGTCTACGCAATACGTGCTTCAGCCAGCGAAGCCCACCAATCCGAATTCGATGTGCTAGCAGGTTTATGTCTGACAGACCCCTAGTTTGCCATTTATGGTCAACTTCGTCGTAGACAACACTGTATAACACCTTGAGTGGTCTCTCCAATATTTGCAATGAAGTGGTCAACTGGGGAAAAGTTGTACAACTTGAAGCTATGATATCATTGTCTTACCCTCAAACACACGACGGCTCACCACGTTAATAACCGGTTCGCACAATCCCATGTGAGCTAAACTACGTAAACAATTCCGTTTTTACAAACATTAACTATGCACTTTCGTGCGCCGGTTTTGCATGCTGACTTTTGGTGCCCCATTTAGATTAAAGAGCAAAATAAAGATTGGAATGTTGAATGCAAATTCAAGCTGAAGATGGAGAATTCATACAGAATGGTGTTAGGAAAATAATGAGTGGATGCACGAGCGCCACTGTTTGCAACACCCAACCATATCACTCAGTGTATCTAATCATCGGTGACCATCATCCTGAAGTTCCCAGCCAGGGAGGTCTAACGGGGCCCATGTGACATTCTCTTGGTTAGGATTTTCATACCTTCATGCCAGGTCTTCGTTTGACCACCCTTGACCATTTTCCAACCGCTACCTGCCTTGGCAAACATCGCTCGCCAGTACAACTGTTTGACCACTCCCATCCATTGTGCTCCATTTTGATACCCAACCTCCCTATTTGCTGTTATTATTGTTGTTGTGTTGGCATCATGTTTGCTCACAAGCCAGTGGCGGTGATGGGATGGTAACCTCGGGCAAAAGCACGCCGGTGACAACAAGCACTGCCCCTATCGATGTCATTTCTTACCAGGCCAGAGTGCTTGAAAAGGTGTGTGAAATCAGATTGTGTGACCACAGAAGTTCATTTTCTCCACCCTCCCTCAAAATAGGCCCGGTCCCCGTCCATCTTACATATTACCACATTATGTATTACGGGTCTGGCAGCTTTACTGGCTTTCGCTGTATTTTTTTTATTGCACACCTAAGTGTGTTGAACGGCAGACGGGGCGAATCCCATAGTTACGAGGGCCTGCTGTTCAGTGATGGTAACCGGCAACCCAAGCCCCAGGAGTTGGAGTGGCGAACCACATAAGGCCCCCATAGGTTAGGTGTGGTATTGAATCGGACGACAGCAGAGCTGCCTACCACCAAGGTTGGATGGTGGAGCTCGAACCTCGGAACATGGGGCCCAAAGCAGGCCGGTGACAGCAACTAAACCACTGTGCTACCATGGCTCGACGAGATGTTCCCGGTGTCGCAAATGAGTTAGTTGTAATGAATATATCTATATATACACATCCATTTACTACCTACTGTAAAATATAAATACAAATAAGTGAGCCAATCGAATCGCGGTATGAGTTTAAGTAATGAGAAAAATCCCAAGTATAAGGGAGAAAGCCATGTCATTAAGAATCGATGGGCTTTGTTACATTATGTCCGATTCTTCTGTTACAAGCCAGAAGAGATAATCGGATGCAAGCGTCAACATGGGCAAACGTTGATATGTGCCAACCGTCTGACCTAATGCCAAGGGATGGATAGTTATAAGTAGGTGGGCGCAATGATACCATTTATTGTCTCCTATATAACTTGTATTCGCTTTTACTCATCTATTTTTCAGCCGCTACACTGATTATTAGATAAATACAGCGTCTGTTGCTGTCTCAACTTTTCTTAATCTCCAGCTGTCTGCACATCGCGAAGCACTTGTTTACTGTGGACCTTATCATGCACCATAAGTTTCGATGCCGAACGGAACGCGATAGATACAGTGGAACAAATGCTTTTGCACTCTTCATAAGCATCTTTAAGTTAGTGGAGGCTTATCCTGAAACAGTTATGCTCGGGGGAGTTTAAATTCCCCTGAATCCCCCCGTAACATCAACGGGAAACGGACGAATCACCACCACCACTCGTATATTCCATTTGGGGAAAATCTAGGTTGTGCGCAACCCCGGAAATATAGCACAGTTCTCCATCGGTCTGAAGCTTCCAATAAACGCTCGCATCGGTTTTCTTGCAAGTCTTTGGGGAACCTCTCGGAGGACAAGATTCGATAGACAACGTCCAAGCACATATCTACAGAATCCATTTACGGTTATTTTTCATAGTGAACAAAACAGAAATCCGCAACCGAAAACGGTGAACAATCTAATTTAGACAAAAACTGGTATTCACTCGGGGACAGGTGCCAAGATTTACTCATCTTTGGTCACACCGCTGTCCGAAATGTGGATGATTTTGTGACTTGCATCTTCGGTATGCACGGTCGGGGACTACAACACAATTACATTAACAATAACAATTATTTAAGAATTATCCACAGCCTTGTTCGGGGAGAATGCTGAGCGTACACGAATTCTAGACAGTGAAGCCCGGTTCCAATGTATCTGGCCAGGATTTTCAAAGGCTGCCCGCTGGATTTATATGCACCTTCCTCTATTTACTGTAGGAATTTCACAAAGGAAATTGGTTACATTGAGCATATGGCGTTTCCCAAAGCAACGAACATGGTGGATGCTAAGATGGTTGGTTATGCGAAAGTAGGGGACAGATACGTTCGGGTTTGAAAACCAGAAAAATGTCAGCTTCCGCTAAGGAGAAGAGCGGTAAAATTGGTCTATCATTTACATTTTGTGGGACCAGCTCTAATACATTAAAGCATCTTTAAGAGGTATGTAAAATATGATAGTATTGCTGTATAAACTGCGAAGGATAGAAAGTGCCATACCCCATGATATACACCAGTGCAACATTCTTCGTGTAGGGGCATTGGGAGTGGTCGCATATCGCATATCAGGGTGGGGGACTAACAGGTAAAATATGCTTCCGGTAAACGTTAGATGAATTCATGAGGAGTTGGTCACTGGACAAGTAACCCAGGCAGTACAAGGGGGCACTCGCTAAAAAATGCTATTTATATTGCTGATACGGTGTTGGTATCGTCAGAATGCATGAAATTGTTCAGAATAACTATTTAAATCTGCGTATTTCATCAAATAACGAAAATTTAGTCCAAAGATTGCTGTTCTATTTCGAAACAGAACATCAATTTTCATACTTTTTTGTTATTTGATGAGATACATAGATGTAAATGGTTGTTTTGAACAATCATGCATTCAAACGATACCAACACCGCATTAGGTAAATTCATATCAGTCTTCAGCGAGTGTCCCCAAAGGGAGACTCAATGAACGGCTGAGTGTCCCGTTGTGCTGCCTGGGAAGTCATTCTACTGACTTGCCATAAGCAGACTGATATCGGACTAAGCCCAGTGTTGCTACTATGAGACAAATATAACTAAGGTCGGCGAGAAACGTTTCACTTACCTCACCGAAGGTGGAACATCAGGGTAATTAGGCCCACACTCAAACTTGAGCATATATATGCGATTTTCAAATGGTGTACGGCTTGGACCCACTATAGCTCCGTTCCACGTTGTCAAAGTGGAGTCCTCCATATCCTCAAGGCCCCAGCTGATCGTTCCTTCCGTGCATAGTCGCTGTCCTTGCTCAAGTTCATCCAGGAGATAGAAATTTCGAGGCACACAAACTAAAGATGATTACAAAAGTGATACAATTAGTGTCACAGATTACAGAAATGACGATAATGAACAAAATTTACAATATTCTTCAGTACCTCGCTCGCCCTTCACATCGTGGTTTTGCCCGGCCATTTTAAAAGCTTTATTGATGAACTAAAACAATGGAGCGAAACTTGAGAAACATTTACCTTGAAGTCAAGACAGGAAAAAAGAGATAACTCACAAGACTTGCGGCTCCAGCCAGTATGGTAATCAATGTTTAAGTTTTCTTCATGGATCCAATCCAATCTTCTAGGACGTAGAAGCCTCGATCTTGTCCTGATTCTGGCTCGATCTCGTCGGTAGACCGATCGAGCTGTATGTTTGTCCGGCTTGCAGCACGGTTGATAATTCCGTGACCGTCCGAAGATGCGGGATTCGGTTGTAGTCGGAGTCGCGTCTGTTATTGGCAAGGCTGAAAAAGAAAGGGAACATGCTGTCTTCTCGCCGTGTCGGTGAGAGACTTACGCACGCTTAATCGTAAGCGCTCCTGCGTGTGCATCCTGAGCATGCGCACCACGTTGTGTCAAACGTCGGGGTGTGGAGAATAAAAGAGGGAGCTTATTTTCCTTCTTTTTTAGGCCACTTCTGGAAAGGTTTCGGCCCATACTCTATCTGATTCCATTTTAAGGCTTGCACTGTGGTCAACTGAACGAGTCTTCCGGCGAGGCGACTCCAGAAGTTGACCACCCTGTTGGTAAAGAAATGTTTCCTCACATCTAACCTACTTCTATTCTTTTCTAAGTGACATTCATGGTCTCTTAGGTCTCTCGTGGATCTCAGAGGTTGGAGCCTTAGATCGGCATTCTTCATTTGTCTGAGGACTTCGATCAGGTCTCCTCTTAAACGTCTCCTATGCATAGAGAAGAGATTCAAGTCAGGTCAGCTTGCACAGGACGTAGTGGCCACAGGCCAGTCAAGCGTCCAGAATTCCTTCGGTGTTGTGCTCACGACTGTGCATCCACCTCTTCAAACGATCGGTTTCTTCGCCTATCTGCAAACAGAGAGAAAGAGAACCTTACTTACCTTAATGTGAATGTGTTCCATATGGCCTACAGAAAAAAGTTATGAACCTAACGGTCGCATTCTGCTCGGTACTCCTCGTTCGGAAACAGTTCTAACCATCTCTTATCCAAAGCCAGTTTGAAGGCGTGGATACTAGGCAAGTTGACTAGTTCCTCAGGTAGTCTTTTCCACTTATTTACTACTATATTGCCGAAGTAGTTGGACCTCACACCTAACCTACTCCTTTTCTTCATCAGTTTGTGCTCGTGGCCCCTGGTACCAGCATACGGGGCATCAGTGAAGAGTTCCTCAGGGGGAATCCCAAAGAAACCCCTCCTAATTTTGGACGCTTCTATGAGGTCTCCTCTAATTCGCCTCCTTTCTACCGAGAATAGATCGAGGTCCCTTAGTATTTC